GAAAATAAATGGTGTTTCAAAGTTTATAATAACTTAGGGAATTTTAAAAGTAATGTCAAAGATACAATGTGTGATTTATTCCAACAAGTCCCCAAACTTGAATATTATCACTATTTAATTAAGTTCTATTGTGTCTAAATTTCATATGAAGTTACTAGAGTGAAATCTTCCTTTGACTGTGTAGAATTAAGAAAAAGACACTGAATTATTGACTGCAGAAGAGAGAGACTACAAATCTAAATTGTAGATAGAAAAGCTTCTGTGCATAATTAGTCTGGTGTCTTGATGCAACCCTACAAAACAGCCCTGACAAATCAGGCAGTGGAGTCAGGAACCTGTCGCTCAGAAGACCTCACTTCTCGCCCATTACCACCACTTTTTCAGGCTCTCTTTCTGGAGCTTCACATTCATTTTCTTAATGTTTTTAACCCAATGTCTGTGAAATTTTTATTGCTCCCTAGATGACGACATCTGATCTGAATGTAACCACACACCTCTTTGCTCAGCAGTATTTGTCACAAACCATTATAAATTATCATGCTGATAGTTTGCATCGCTGGGAAACCGGAAAAACGCCATAAATTCTAACTACTGTATCAATGACATTCTTGTTTATTATGCAGATATAAAGTTTTATGAGAGTCAAGATGTCCACTTTACCACTGAAGGAAACCCCGGTGGATTAAGACCCAACCAGCTCAGTGTGACACTGAACACCATTTTCAGTGCACAATGAACACTACTTTCTGACAAACACTCAGAAGGTGGCTCTTTCTTTCTTCTCTGCTTCTAGCTCCACTTTGACACTTCACAAGCATGGAGGAGTTTGCTGGTGCAAAAGAGAGAAATTGGATTCCTCTTTTTCCCTCAACGTCTTCTTCTCCACTCAGAACATTCTCTAGCCTCCTCTGCTATCAACATTACAGTGAAACCAGGCAGTCTATTTGGCTAGACATCCCAGCACAAAGTTAGTCCCAAGACAGATGCTCTCTGGCTCCATGGATGGACTGATACCACACCTTGTTCAGTGAAAGAATTCAGGGAGTTCCGATATTATATTTTTGATGCTTATTTGCAATGAAACCTGATTCGGGGTGGCCTACACATAGATTTGATTTTTAAAGCTACCAAACACAACTTGGACATTCATTTTCCTAAAGGAACTATCCCCCCTTGATATCCACTGTAAAAAAAAAAAAACCTTTTTGCAAAGTTAGCATAAGTTAATTATGTACTGGGCCAGACTTGGCATTCTTCACAAGAAAAGTTGTGAGCATTTCACTGCGTGGTTAAAATTATGAGGATATTTTCATTTCACGATAAAGAAAACCAAAAAAAGAAAAAGAAAAATATTTTTCCTACCAGAACTTGGCTGTTTAATTACTTATTTATCCCTGCGCTCTAAGAAACAACTGTCTACTTGGGTCTCCAGGATGTTTTTGCCACAAGCAGACATGTGAAGGAATTGATTTCCCATTGTGAAAGTTGACTATTCAAATACTGACAGTTTCAAGGGAAATGCAGAGTATACTGCACACAGATGATCCCACTACTAGATCAGTATAGTTAGTTTGCCTAGCTTCCTAAATCTGAATGTTCTAATAATCACCAAGTTCTTAAAGATATCCTAATAATACACTAACTGCTTCCAAGGGGAGTTTCTAAAGTGAAAGTTTCACTTTTCAAACTGGCTTTCATATCCACTACCCTATTTTATCTTACAAGACCATGTCCTGACTGCTGTTAGCTGAAACAGGGAAAGACGTTAAGCATCTCAAATAATACAAACAACTTGTTCTTAACAGACACTATCACTAAGAGCTTACCAGTTCTCTGAATATGATGTGTCATCTCAAATACATTTTTGGAAGTCGCTTATTGTAGACAAAAGAATTCCACAATCCACCAAAACTCGGTCATTTACTATAAATAAAACAAGCCCACAATCCCCCCAAACTCCCAAATTTATATTTTTGCACATCCCACATACTATGCATTTCTTTTGACAGGAGTTGCTGGTGCTTTCCGTTCCTCTAGAGAATTATAATCCCCTGTAGATTTTAAAGCTGTGGATTCTTCTCACAATCTTTACCAAAGGAGAAAAGAATTCTGTCGTGTTTGTTGAATTTTCAACTGCAAACTTCAACAATAACCAGGAGTCGTGTGGACCAGTCAGGGAAGATAGTGATGGCAAATGTCCTAAGCTGGTCTTCCTATATCATTTTGGGAGTTTCTACTGATAAATGTCAGGCAGCAACACTTGAAAACAGGGCACAAATATATTCTCCAGGACCACAATCTCCACTGACTACAGCAGGCTAAATACATCAGCCTTCAAGACTGGTCAGGAGATGGCTTCTTCACAGAGAACAAATCCTCACTACAATTAAGAAACCACCTTACTCTGAAGCACAGAACTCACCATCATAATTACAGAAACAGTCTTCTTGGCCAGTTTCTTGCTGACATCATTAAAATGGTCCTTTACTCTGAGTTATAGTGATCCCCTTTTCTTATTGTCTTTAAAAAACAAAACGAACAAAAAAGCTGCCCCCTGCTCCCACCATGCTCAACCTCACATCATAATATGGCAGATAATTATTTAAGGTCTGCTATGTGCCAGATTCCCTGAAGGGGGGCATGGCAACCCACTCCAGTATTCTTGCCTGGAGAATCCCATGGACAGAGGAGCCTGGTGGGCTACAGTCCATGGGGTCACACAGAGTCGGATATGACTGAAGCGGCTTGGCATGCACACGTGCCAGATGCTTATAAATACTTTCCATACACTAATTCATGCAACTGGCTTCCCCTTCTTACATTCCTGTGCAGTTGGGTGTTGGAGCCAGCTCACACCAGCTCATGAGAATCAAATGTGCACCTCTTTGCAAGTCTGTGCATAGTGACATCACTGGGTGGTTTGAAATTGGCCGTGGAGAGAAAATTTTCACTACAGAAATTGGCAAATACCACAGATTCAGACTTGACCCATCCCCTCCTCAAATCCAGTTGCTAACATTGACCAGCACACAACTTCGAATAATAATTCTGAATTCTTTATTATATGACACACATACATGGTCAAGACTCTCAGATCAGAAATTAGCAAACATGAGTTTACTGAAATCTAACAGCACCTTATTTTGAGGAATAATGCTATTACTTGAGTGTGTCTTACCAGAGTTTCTTAAAAATATCTCCTATAGCAGCTCCTTGTTGTTGCTTACTAAGTCATTTCCAATTCTTTTGAGACACCATAGACTATAGCCCGCCAGGCTACTCTGTCCATGGGATTGCCCAGGCCAAGAATACTGGAGTGGGTTACCATTTCCTTCTCCAGAGGATCATCCCAACCCAGGGGTCAAACTCAATTCTCCTGTATTGGCAGATGGATTCTTTAACACTGCACCACCAGGGAAGCCCCCTATAGCAGTTTAAGTATTGTCGAGATGCAAAAACATAACACAAAACAAAATAAATGAAATGGAAAATAAATCTTCAGGTTGTCTCAGCGGTGGACACTGTAAAAACCACCATACAGAATATTGACTTAAAAAAAGAAAGAATGAATTTCCTGTTTCCAAGAAGTTACTGGAACACTTTATTAATGGCAGCTTTCACACAAGATTAAAAAGTCAATATAATGCCCTGAAGCACTTCTGAATCACAGAACAAAGATTAAATTGAAATCGGCCTCATTTTACTGTAGTGTCTGCTGATTATTTGGAAATTGATCAACAGCACATGAATGTATGCTAATTCTCCAGGCACCAGATATTGAATTAACCAGATGATGTCATTTCCCTGGCCATGAAAAACTAGTTTACCCCCAGAATCCAACAGGTTCTGGAGGACTTCCGACAGTTGGGAGTATTTTCATACTATTCTGTTCTTCTCTACAAGGGTTATTATGTATTTGCAAATAAAATATTTTAAATAATGAATCTGCCTGCATAATAATGCTATCCAATGGAAATAGTAGCCTACACTGTATATAGTTATATCAAACAGACTCATTTTAAAACTTGGGAAAACCTATCAGTCCTCGAGAAACACTTTAGAAGTGAGATTAAAATGTCTAAACGTCACTAGAGGTTGATATTCAGGCTCAGGTCTCTGGAGAATACACAGTATGGTAGAAATGGATGAGGTGGACAAGGCAGAGCCAGGTGGTCTGCCGGATGTCCAGTGAGAAAAGCAAATTTGGACCCGAGTGGACTGTTGCCTGCATTGTTAAAACATACTTTCCAACTGTGGAAAGCAAAACTTACACACAATTCTTTCATGCAAAGTGAGGATTTATAATTTAGTCTGTCTCTCTACTGAGAATGTTTTTATAATAATGAAACGGTGTAAATTGATTATTAGTAACTTAACCATTGAAACAGATAGGAAGGCTAAAGCACATGAACAAACATATTATTGTGAATTAACAATTTTTTAGCATTTTTCATAAGAGACTTGCGATCATTAATCTACTATAAAAGTCCTTCATTAGACTTACCCTATATGCCTTTTTTTTTTTCCCCCAATGACAATTTGCTTTGGTGATGTCAAACTCAGTAAGATAAACACAGTTCTTCGATCACAAAATATGTCCTAGATTTGTTCAAAAAAGACCCAACCTCACCATCTGCCAATGCACTGCATGTTAGAGACACACAATATTTAATAAAAAGCAAGAGGCTGGGTTTCTAATTCTTCGCCTTTCCAGGAAAAAAAGAAACCTAAATACACTTTTCTTAACACAAGTTCCCCAACCAAAAGTGCTAACAAGAAAAAGACTATGAGAGATTACACATTTAAATATAAGCTCCCTGGTTTAGGGAACTCAGAAATCACTTAACATAATTTAATTTCCATACCATTGACACATGATCTGGCCTAGATCGGAATTCCTCCTGGATCCATTTACATCCTAGATGGTTCAGACTTTCCCCCCATAACACCCGTGCCCACTAGATGGTGCTGTGGTGCCCTGTTCAAACATTTTCACTTACTTGCAGTCTCTGTCTTCCAAATCGAAGTGAGGGTTGAAGTTAATCATAATTCTCTGGTATGGGTCCGGAGCCTGAATCAGCCATTCACATTTTTCACTTGGGTGATAAGAGTGAGGATAACCCGGAGATGTAAGGTACCCAGGGCTTTCAATTTTTATAGTATCGCCACACTTATCTGTAATAAAATTAACATTTTAGTACTAGATGGTTCCCTGTACAACCAGTTAGGTATTCCAGTTTTACATATCAATGACAGGTTATTAAACATTCCCTAAGTTTTTAAGGGGAGCTCCAAGAGATGCCTGCAGGTCCTTCAGGTGGCGCTGAGAGCAACACACTTCCAAAGAAGGCTCTTTGATCTCAGGAAGTTGGTTCAGGAGGACTCCATCCCCACCTCCCACAAAGTTGCCTCCCAAGAAAAAGGTCTTCCAGCATTAAAAACATTAAGTCCTCAATGGATGTTAACATGGTCCCCAGGGAGCTTCTGCTAGACTTAATTATACCCCAGAAGTGTAATCACATTAAGTAGCAAGTTCTAAGTGAAGGGACTAAAAGATGCTATTCGACCCCGGGTGTTGCTGTTTGATGATAAGCCTGGTCTGTGTCATTGATCAGTGGGGATTGTCATCCAGGACTTCAATTGGCTTAAAGCCAAACCCTTTTTGTTGTTGTCTTATCTGGCCTGTAAATCTAAGTGATTTTGAGTTATCTCTGGTCTTTGAGATCCAGAGCATCAGGGAACAAAGTACATGTGGTGAAGCAGAAAGAATTCAGCTCTACTGCTCGCAGGAAAGTTGCTCAGTTTTGGAGACCAGATCAAAGTAACTGGGCAGAAAGAAAAATAAATAGCTACACAGATTAATTCTAATTACCTACATGTTGGAAGAAACTCCCCCACATGGAGGTCTGAGTATCACAGATGGTGAGCTACACCCTCACATTTTAGAAAAGATGAGCTAACTACTTTTGACCTTCCTTTAAAAAAAAAAAAACACCCAAACCTGAAGTGATTCACTGAGAACCAAAGAAACCAGTCTTTGGGCAGCTTTATTGTTCAGTATGGACCCTCACTGTCATTTTTTATGATGGATTTCATATTAGAGAATCTCAGCCTGAAAGGCTGCCACATTTATCGATGCTTAATTTTGAACAATAAAAATTCGGTGCATAAGCTATGTAAGAGGAACAGGTATGAAAGCAGTGAAACATATAAGCCTATCAATCACAAATTTTCAGTAATGGTATATATAGATTTTAATATTGCATCTAATAGATTCCCTGTGGAAAAAAGAATGGCATTCTTTGCTCTCAGCATGAATTTATAAATCTACAGAATTTTATTACAGGAAAACCAGGTCAAATGGAAATGAAAGATGAAGTGCACATCAAAAATGCATAAAGCTGCATTACAGAAATCATTTCCCATAAATTAAAAGAGAAGACAATATAAATTACTTTGTTTTTCTCAGTTGCTAGATGTTTTTGACTTTGTTTCTTAGACTATGGAGGGGGGGTAGCCTTATATGGGTTTCCTTTGCCTTAGCTTTTAGAAGCTTAAGGTTTGCCAAGAAGAAATGGTGTTGTAACTGGAGTTCAGAATCTCAGCTAATGATCATACTGGACTCTGTTATGTTATTCTGTGGAGGCTCTTGCATTATTTTAAATGTGCAGAAAACTTGGAAAGCAACCCCATCTCATTAAGTCTCCTCCAGCTCTGTACAAACATCATGGCAGTGTCTGGCATCTGTTAAGGAGTGAAATAAAACAGCACTGCTTGTAGCCACTCGACAGAGTCACTTCAGAAGACATTGAGGTGGACTCAGTACCACAGCAGAGCTCTTTAATCTGTGACTTCTGAGAAAGTGACAGTGTAATAAGATAATGTGGACTCCTAGACTGCCTGGCTCTGTTAAATCTCTCCAACACTTGATTAAGAAGGAGCAGTTTCTAATGATTCTGGACCATTAGTCCTAAATAAGGTTAATGAATTAATTTAGCAGACACTGGTACTCTGAGGAGGTGGACATGGCTGGAAAAGGTCTGCTGAGCTAGAGGCATTAACTGGCTTTGGTCACTGTTAAGTACAGCAACATAGGTTTAACCAGTCAAGTCACTGATCGCAGCTCGGAGTCTCAGCATTCCCCAGATTTCTGCTAAGAAAATTGGGAAGTATGTATATGTCTCATGTATGTATGTACACACACACACACACAGACACACACACACACACACAGACATACATATGGGGTTCACAACCTAAAGTCTGAAAGCTATTGGCATTGGATTTCAAATCCATCCTATGAACACCCGCCACCGTGGAAGCAGATGTTGGGTTACTGTAATTTTTAAAGTCTAACCACTGGAGCTCTTTCAATTGGAGGTGAGTGTTATTTCATTCCCTGCCAGACTAGAGAAGGATGCCATCATCTGAGGTTCATTAATAAATTGAACTCTACATTCACAGTTGTGTGTGTTTTGTTTCCAAGCATATCTTTTAGGACACTGCTTGGTAGCTGCTGAGGAAATCTATTGCTTCAATCATGAAACCTCTAAAAAGCATATTAGAGAGATTAACTCCCATCATAAAGATGTGATTTAAATTCCTCTCGGTATGAACCCCTCCACTTGTGGTCTCTTATTAAAACAATATACCACCGGTAAGTAGCGGATGGGCTCTCGTTCTAATTACTGATTGAAATCTAAGCCAGGCTAAAGTAAATATTTGATAATTAGTTAATAATAATTGCTGAAGACTTACCGTAAAGATAATGTCACCCGCCCTCTTGCTTCCACCTACTTTACAGTGTAAGTCGAACATGCCTACAACCAGATCCCATTTTAAAACACATTATTTACATTACCGGATACTGCTTCTAACCCAGCACCGTCTTCCATTTACTTAACATTGAGTGGTTTTAAAAGCTAAGTGGAAGCTGCAAGTAGGTTAGGGGATTTTCACATATCCTGGTGCCTTAAAGCGTGTGTATCAGATTCCTTTATTGACACGATGTAACTTTCATTCATACTCCACACGGAGCAGGGCTGGTTTGAAAAAGCGGAGGAGGGACTAACACCCACCCGCAAACCGCTATCTCCTGCGGGCACCCACCAGAGGAATCAGTTCGGGGGAGCTGTCGGAGAATCAGGAAGTGCTCCCGGTAAAGTGTTCATTAACTTTCAACAGCCATCATATTTTTGAAAGGGAGTCTCCTCTAATTGCCTTGGGGAGGAAACATTATTAAGATAATTGGTGTGCTGATCTAGGAAGGTAGGGCGCTCTGCCTTGTAGCAGAGGTGGGAAAAACCCCATGGCCAAACAACCAACTTCAGGAGGGAGTCAGAGGACATGAAATCTCCCTGCCCTACCTACAACGACAGATCTTATTTCTTTATTTCTCCGTCTGGCTAAAAGTTTCCTGCACCCAGGAGGCTGCTCTCTCCGGTGGGTCCCGGCAGCTGGGCGCGGGCAGCCGGGAGCCGGGTTCACCCCCGCGGCCGTGCGCCTCCGCCTGTCACTTACCGTTGCGAAAAGCGCCGGCCGCGCCGAGGACCAGGGCGAGCGCGGCGCACAGGAGCTGCAGCCCCTTCTCCATCCTCCCTTCGCCGGAGCCCCGGGGCGAACGCGGGAGAGCCGAACGTGCGGGGAAAACAGAGCACCGGGGCGATCTCCACGATCCGGAGCGCTTCCACTCCTCCCGGAGCTGTAAAATCCTCAGACCGTCTTGGAGAAAGAAAAGCGGCGAGGCAATGCCTTGATCCGAGAGAAACGCTCCTCGTTTTGTGTCTCAAGTCGCCTGCATCCTGTCATTTAGCTCCGGTTTCCTCTCTCTTTTCCCACACTTGTTCCTCTTCCAGGAGCCGCTGCCCGGGCCATGTCTCAAAAAAAAGGGGGGGGGGGGGAAGTGTGGGAGGGGGAGGAGGGACGTAGAGAAACACACCAACGCCAATTTCCAGAAAGAAAAAAAAAATCCGGCTTGCTTCTGGACCCGTTGGAGCCGGGGAGCTGGCGCCCAAGGGAGGTCGGGGTGTCTGCGCGAAGAAGAGGAGCAAGCAATGAAAAGATGAGCGGGAGACAGAGGAGTTTCACCAACTGCACCCCCGCCTCCCCCACCGCCTCCTCCCCTCCCCTTCTGGAGCCCTTCCCTCGCTTCCCTCCGCCCCTCTCCCCGCACAGGCTCGCCAGCGACTGCCTGACAAGAGACGGGGAGGAACAAGTTTCTCTCCTTGAACGTTCCCCGTCCGTCTGTCCGTCTCTCCCGCAGATCCTGCTGGGATCTTCCCCGGCAGGGAGGCGCCGGGACTCCGTGCCCAGGGCCGGCTGGCGGATGTGTTTGGGGAGGGACCGGGCGTCGAGGTCGGTGGCAGCGCCAGGGTCGGGCTAGCCTACCTCGGCAAGCTCACTCGGGCCCCCGGGGGAGAGCGGGGCAGTTCCGCTAGGATTTGGGGGAGGGGGGGTCGGCCGCCGGACACAGGCGGCGCGCCCAGAAGGTGGCGGCTGCTTTTCCCAACTCCGAAACCCCCGGGAGGCGCCCCAGTCGTGACCTGGGGGCAGGAGCAGCAGGGCGCCCCTGGACGTTGCGGATCAGGCCCGAAGGGGCCGAGGAAAGGGGCCGGGGTTGGGGACGCACCCCGGAGCCGGGCGAGGGTCGGCAGTGTCGCTGCCACGTAGAGCCGAGTCCGTAGACTCACGCGGGCGAGGCTGTGCTGCAGCCCCGCCCGGCCTCCTTGCCCCGCATCGGGGCGCGCGGCTGGGCGCCTGGCGAGCCCCGGTGTCCGCCGCGCGCCGCGGGCTCCATTGTTGCCGGAGATCTGGTGTCCTCCTCCCGGCCAGAGGGGACGCCGGAGGGTGGGAGGTGGTGAGCCTTCCAGCTAGGGGGCAGTCGTCGCCCGACCCCGCCCAGCCGCCTGATTCGGAGCCCAGGTGCTTGGGGTTTGGAAATGAGGGGTCCAGCGGTCGGGGCTCCTGTGCATCACTGGGGAGCAGGAACAGTGGCGGGGGCGGGCTGTTGCTCTTGGCCCGGCTCTCACGGTGCCCGCTCCGGCTACAGGCCATTGTCAGGCCGGCCTACCCCCGCCTCCCACGGCGGCGCGTTCTCCGCGGGCGCTGGATGCCCCCTAGTTCGGTCCCCGAAGGGTTTTCCGGGAACTGCTGCAGAAAGCCTCTGCAGATAGGAATAGCAAGGACATTACAGTGAGCAAACAGGTTTTGACTGCGGATCAGGCCCTTGAGAGAGGTAAATGCCCGAAGGCCCCCTCCGAAGGAGTTCGTGGGGAAGGTGAAAAGGTCAGTCGCCTTCTGGGAACGGCGTTTCTGCACACACCCGAAAGCAGAGCCTTATTCCTACCTGGCGCACACCCGAAAGCAGAGCCTTATTCCTACCTGGCGCAAAGAGCTGGCAAAAGAGATTTAGGAATGTTGGCAGAAAGACTCTGGTCAAAGGTTTTGGCGGAAGAACTAGGGGCGGGACGCGAGAGAGGCGGCCCAGCGCGCGCCGGCCCCTGCAAGGGCTCTGCCCTAGCGGGTGGCGGCTGGGCGCGGTGACGCGCGCCGGCTGGGGTACAGGCGAGCCCCGCGCGCGGTGCAAAGCTGCACCTCGGGCTTGCGGGCCCGCGCCCGGGGAGTCTCCGCCTCCAAGCTGGAGACCGGCCTACTGGGCACACGAGTCGTCATCCCCACCGCCCCCCGCCTCCCCGGCCCGAGCGCCTCTTCGCCTTCGCTGGTTTCCTACTTCTCCGCTATCCCACCCCGGACTCTGGGTGGGAAGGTGGCACTGTGAGGCCGAGAGTCAAACGCCTGGGCGGGGCGGAAGAGGCAGCGGCGGGGCGAGACCGGGCGCCGGGCGAGACCGGGCGCCAGCCTCGCCCGCGCAGACCCCGGGGAGCCATCGCCGCGGAGGGAAGCCCGGGCGCTTGGCTACCGCGAGAGCGCGACGCCTCCTCCCCGCGTCCCTCTCAGTCCCCGGAGCACCCCCGGCAGTGGTAATCCCCGGCTGCTTGGGGCGAGCGGCATCGTCAGATTTGGGGTGACCCCGGGCGACCTCAGCCCGCGGTTCGGAGGGAGAGGCGCCTCTCCGAAACTGGCAGGTTGACAGAGAAGTGGAAACGCGCGGCGCAGCGCCGAGGCGTCCCGGAGTCACGGCTGCCCGCCTCCTTCCTAGTGGGAACCGCGCGGCCCCGCTCGCTCCCGGGACCGGGTTGACCCGTCTGTGCCTCCGCGGGGTGAGCGAGGGGGCACTCCCGAGGCTTGGGCCGTGTTGTTTTTAGAAAACTGCCGCCAATCTCTCTTCCCTTTTCCCTGCTGAGTGTGCATTTCCCAGTCTGAACCCACCAAGCTAACAAAAAGCCACCAGATCCTGCGCTCCGAGAGGCACTGCCCCCGCCCCGCCACCCTCGCCCCCTTCCCCTCCCACCCGCATTTCCCGGGGAAGGGTCGGCGCGCAGAAAACGCCTTTCTTGCTCTCCAGCTGAGCATTTTGCCAGCCTTTCTCCAACCAACTAATAAGACACGCAGTAGGTACTCTGTGGGGAATATCACATTTAAGTTCTGCCTGTGATTTTTCTGGTCTCAGCTGATCTGAGACTTTTCTCTAACTCCGGAGTTTTCACATGCAGTTCTGGGTAATGGGAGCCCTACCGCACTGATTGTTAATTGGTTGCTAGTGGGCAGGTACGGAGCAAATTGTCCTTGCTAACAACCTCTTTCCTCTGCTGGTGGAGTCCGCTACGTGTCAAAAAGGGTCAGTTTTAGATTTCTGCTGTTCCTTCTGCAAGGAGACAGACCGACCTTTACGCGAGGTAAGTGATAGACAGGAAGAATTTGGCAGTATTCCTAGGCTGATTCTATTTTGTCTCGCGAACACACATCACTCTTTCAGACACATCACAAGTCCTCAGACTATGTAGCACCCGATTCGACTGAAGGGAAGATCCACCACCACACTCCCTGAGTGCACGGCAGAGGCCCTGGATGGACAATACCCAGCTTCAGGGACTCGCATGAAGGGGTTACTGCAAGATGAGAGCCCTTCACTTCCGCCTCCTGAGCCAGGCTGCAACAGAGGTCCATCATGTAAGAATAGACTGGGTGGTAAATGGTTTCTTTTACCAGTGGGTGGTATGGTTTCTTTCATCAAGCGCTCATCAATTTGTCATAAGTAGGTGAGATCCATTGCTCCCAGAAGGCCATTTGAGCCACTAATGTCCTCAAAGTATTTCAGGTTGGTGCAAATGGAGATCGGTATTTCAGAACTGCATCACATCTAGTTGCTTCAGCGGGGCATGGCAACCCACTCCCGTATTCTTGCTTGGAGAACCCCATAGACAGAGGAGCCTGAAGGTACTTAGGACACAGGTACACAAAGTTTAGTCAAGTTTCTCGAAGCATTCACATCAACTTATTTCAGAAAAGCAACCACGAAACAGTTTTAATAGGAGCTAACCTACATTTGAAATCTAAGAATGAAAGACATGAAACAGAAAAGCTTAAAAATTGGCGTGTAGATTAAGTGCCCACTATTTAAAACAATTACATTTAAAATGACTGTAATTGTTAAATGACTGTCATTCAAGGGGTGCCCTTTTGGACCTCATGTAGAGCTGTCTCCATTGGGATTAACAGAAGAAAGAAGAAAATAAACTAATGAACTTTTACCTTTTGATCCTTCATTTTGAGCCTTTTAAAAACCTTGAAAATTCTTCGAATATTGGAGAAAAGACTACCATCAAAGTTTTAAAACAAAGTTACAGTATGAAGTGTCTGTAGTACAGTGTCTACAGATGCAGGAAGACAATGCTAAATATTGAACCATGAGTAGATTTTCAAAGCATTTGTTGGTCTCAGGGCTAGAATTTGAAAACTATTTTTTGTCTGAAAGGATAATCTTAGATTATTCTGCCTTCATTGAATTACTTTTTCACTATAAAAATTAGATAATAATAATCCATAGAAATACTCTTCAAATCACTAACGACGTCATTAGAGAGGACATACTCAACATTTCAAAAAGACTATTTTTAAGTAGAACAATCTATAAAGCATTATTTGAACATCAAATAAGGAAAGGCTATCTCTTAAAAGTTAATCATAGTGAACTAAAATTCTGAAGAATTTTAAAAATTAGTAAAACCTAAATTAAAACTATCAACTAAAGGCCAAAAATGATTCTAGAGAATTTTGAAAATTAATAAATAATTTTAAAACTATCAGCCAAAGGTCAGAAAAGCCCTCCAAAAAACATCTCACCGTTAAGAACTATAGAATTTATCCTAACAGAATATTATTTCATTTTGTATTCTTAGTAGATGGCTCTAACTATTTACATGAGAATGCTGCTGCTGCTGCTAAGTCACTTCAGTCGTGTCCGGCTCTGTGCAACCCCATAGACGGCAGCCCACCAGGCTCCCCCATCCCTGGGATTCTCCAGGCAAGAACACTGGAGTGGGCTGCCATTTCCTTCTCCAATGCATGAAAGTGAAAAGTGAAAGTGAAGTCGCTCAGTCGCGTCTGACTCTTCGAGACCCCATGGACTGCAGCCTACCCAGCTCCTCCTTCCATGGGATTTTCCAGGCAAGAGTACTGGAGTGGGGTGCCATT